ACCTTAGCCCAAACACCAGCTACACAAAACCTTAGCCCAAACACCAACTACACAAAACCTTAGCCCAAACACCAGCTACACAAAACCTTAGCCCAATCACCAGCTACACAAAACCTTAGCCCAAACACCAGCTACACAAAACCTTAGCCCAATTACCAGCTACACAAAACCTTAGCACAAACACCAAACCTTAGCCCAAACACCAGCTACACAAAACCTTAGCCCAAACACCAAACCTTAGCCCAAACACCAGCTACACAAAACCTTAGCCCAAACACCAGCTACACAAAACCTTAGCCCAAACACCAGCTACACAAAACTTTAGCCCAAACACCAAACCTTAGCCCAAACACCAGCTACACAAAACCTTAGCCCAAACACCAAACCTTAGCCCAAACACCAGCTACACAAAACTTTAGCCCAAACACCAAACCTTAGCCCAAACACCAGCTACACAAAACCTTAGCCCAAACACCAGCTACACCAAACCTTAGCCCAAACACCAGCTACACAAAACCTTAGCCCAAACACCAAACCTTAGCCCAAACACCAGCTACACAAAACCTTAGCCCAAACACCAAACCTTAGCCCAAAAACCAGCTACACAAAACTTTAGCCCAAACACCAAACCTTAGCCCAAACACCAGCTACACAAAACCTTAGCCCAAACACCAGCTACACAAAACCTTAGCCCAAACACAAGCTACACAAAACCTTAGCTCAAACACCAACTACACAAAACCTTAGCCCAAACACCAGCTACACAAAACTTTAGCCCAATCAACAGATACACAAAACCTTAGCCCAGCTACCAGCTACACAAAACCTTAGCCCAACCACCAGCTACACAAAACATTAGCCCAAACACCAGCTACACAAAACATTAGCCCAAACACCAGCTACACAAAACTTTAGCCCAAACACCAAACCTTAGCCCAAACACCAGCTACACAAAACCTTAGCCCAAACACCAGCTACACAAAACCTTAGCCCAAACACCAGCTACACAAAACCTTAGCCCAAACACCAGCTACACCAAACCTTAGCCCAAACACCAGCTACACAAAACCTTAGCCCAAACACCAGCTACACAAAACCTTAGACCAAACACCAGCTACACAAAACTTTAGCCCAAACACCAAACCTTAGCCCAAACACCAGCTACACAAAACCTTAGCCCAAACACCAACTACACAAAACCTTAGCCCAAACACCAGCTACACAAAACCTTAGCCCAAACACCAGCTTCACAAAACCTTAGCCCAAACACCAGCTACACAAAACCTTAGCCCAAACACCAGCTACACCAAACCTTAGCCCAAACACCAGCTACACAAAACCTTAGCCCAAACACCAGCTACACAAAACCTTAGCCCAAACACCAGCTACACAAAACTTTAGCCCAAACACCAAACCTTAGCCCAAACACCAGCTACACAAAACCTTAGCCCAAACACCAACTACACAAAACCTTAGCCCAAACACCAGCTACACAAAACCTTAGCCCAAACACCAACTACACAAAACCTTAGCCCAAACACCAGCTACACTAAACCTTAGCCCAATCACCAGCTACACAAAACCTTAGCCCAAACACCAGCTACGGAAAACCTTAGCCCAAACACCAGCTACACAAAACCTTAGCCCAAACACCAAACCTTAGCCCAAACACCAGCTACACAAAACCTTAGCCCAAACACCAGCTACACAAAACCTTAGCCCAAACACCAGCTACACAAAACTTTAGCCCAAACACCAAACCTTAGCCCAAACACCAGCTACACAAAACCTTAGCCCAAACACCAAACCTTAGCCCAAACACCAGCTACACAAAACTTTAGCCCAAACACCAAACCTTAGCCCAAACACCAGCTACACAAAACCTTAGCCCAAACACCAGCTACACCAAACCTTAGCCCAAACACCAGCTACACAAAACCTTAGCCCAAACACCAAACCTTAGCCCAAACACCAGCTACACAAAACCTTAGCCCAAACACCAAACCTTAGCCCAAAAACCAGCTACACAAAACTTTAGCCCAAACACCAAACCTTAGCCCAAACACCAGCTACACAAAACCTTAGCCCAAACACCAGCTAGACAAAACCTTAGCCCAAACACCAGCTACACAAAACCTTAGCACAAACACCAAACCTTAGCCCAAACACCAGCTACACAAAACCTTAGCCCAAACACCAAACCTTAGCCCAAACACCAGCTACACAAAACCTTAGCCCAAACACCAGCTACACAAAACCTTAGCCCAAACACCAGCTACACAACACTTTAGCCCAAACACCAAACCTTAGCCCAAACACCAGCTACACAAAACCTTAGCCCAAACACCAAACCTTAGCCCAAACACCAGCTACACAAAACTTTAGCCCAAACACCAAACCTTAGCCCAAACACCAGCTACACAAAACCTTAGCCCAAACACCAAACCTTAGCCCAAAAACCAGCTACACAAAACTTTAGCCCAAACACCAAACCTTAGCCCAAACACCAGCTACACAAAACCTTAGCCCAAACACCAGCTACACAAAACCTTAGCCCAAACACAAGCTACACAAAACCTTAGCTCAAACACCAACTACACAAAACCTTAGCCCAAACACCAGCTACACAAAACTTTAGCCCAATCAACAGATACACAAAACCTTAGCCCAGCTACCAGCTACACAAAACCTTAGCCCAGCCACCAGCTACACAAAACATTAGCCCAAACACCAGCTACACAAAACCTTAGCCCAAACACCAGCTACACAAAACATTAGCCCAAACACCAGCTACACAAAACTTTAGCCCAAACACCAAACCTTAGCCCAAACACCAGCTACACAAAACCTTAGCCCAAACACCAGCTACACAAAACCTTAGCCCAAACACCAGCTACACAAAACCTTAGCCCAAACACCAGCTACACCAAACCTTAGCCCAAACACCAGCTACACAAAACCTTAGCCCAAACACCAGCTACACAAAACCTTAGACCAAACACCAGCTACACAAAACTTTAGCCCAAACACCAAACCTTAGCCCAAACACCAGCTACACAAAACCTTAGCCCAAACACCAACTACACAAAACCTTAGCCCAAACACCAGCTACACAAAACCTTAGCCCAAACACCAGCTACACAAAACCTTAGCCCAAACACCAGCTACACAAAACCTTAGCCCAAACACCAACTACACAAAACCTTAGCCCAAACACCAGCTACACAAAACCTTAGCCCAAACACCAGCTACACCAAACCTTAGCCCAAACACCAGCTACACAAAACCTTAGCCCAAACACCAGCTACACAAAACCTTAGCCCAAACACCAGCTATACAAAACTTTAGCCCAAACACCAAACCTTAGCCCAAACACCAGCTACAGAAAACCTTAGCCCAAACACCAACTACACAAAACCTTAGCCCAAACACCAGCTACACAAAACCTTAGCCCAAACACCAACTACACAAAACCTTAGCCCAAACACCAGCTACACTAAACCTTAGCCCAATCACCAGCTACACAAAACCTTAGCCCAAACACCAGCTACAGAAAACCTTAGCCCAAACACCAGCTACACAAAACCTTAGCCCAAACACCAAACCTTAGCCCAAACACCAGCTACACAAAACCTTAGCCCAAACACCAGCTACACAAAACCTTAGCCCAAACACCAGCTACACAAAACTTTAGCCCAAACACCAAACCTTAGCCCAAACACCAGCTACACAAAACCTTAGCCCAAACACCAAACCTTAGCCCAAACACCAGCTACACAAAACTTTAGCCCAAACACCAAACCTTAGCCCAAACACCAGCTACACAAAACCTTAGCCCAAACACCAGCTACACCAAACCTTAGCCCAAACACCAGCTACACAAAACCTTAGCCCAAACACCAAACCTTAGCCCAAACACCAGCTACACAAAACCTTAGCCCAAACACCAAACCTTAGCCCAAAAACCAGCTACACAAAACTTTAGCCCAAACACCAAACCTTAGCCCAAACACCAGCTACACAAAACCTTAGCCCAAACACCACCTACACAAAACCTTAGCCCAAACACAAGCTACACAAAACCTTAGCTCAAACACCAACTACACAAAACCTTAGCCCAAACACCAGCTACACAAAACTTTAGCCCAATCAACAGATACACAAAACCTTAGCCCAGCTACCAGCTACACAAAACCTTAGCCCAGCCACCAGCTACACAAAACCTTAGCCCAAACACCAACTACACAAAACCTTAGCCCAAACACCAGCTACACAAAACCTTAGCCCAAACACCAGCTACACAAAACCTTAGTCCAAACACCAACTACACAAAACCTTAGCCCAAACACCAGCTACACAAAACCTTAGCCCAAACACCAGCTACACAAAACCTTAGCCCAAACACCAACTACACAAAACCTTAGCCAAACACCAGCTACACAAAACCTTAGTCCAAACACCAGCTACACAAAACCTTAGCCCAAACACCAGCTACACCAAACCTTACCCTAAACACCAGCTACACAAAACCTTAGCCCAAACACCAGCTACACAAAACTTTAGCCCAAACACCAGCTACACAAAACCTTAGTCCAAACACCTTCTACACAAAACCTTAGCCCAAACACCAACTACACAAAACCTTTGCCCAATCACCTTCTACGACTAGTAACATCCTCATTCGTTTTTCTTTTAATAACTTATTCACACGAGACACGAAACCTTACACTATCTTCTTCAGACCTCCCCCTCCCCTTATCTTCTCCCCCCACCCCCCCCCCCCCCACCCCTCACAGACCCCCAAGAAGACAAATATCGTCTGCGCCCAACAAGACAAAAGTCTGCGCGCCGCCTACAACCGAGGGCACGCGGTCAACTAAAGGAGACACGTCCAAACCAATGGCCGCCCAGGTAGATGAAATCAGACGGTATTGATCTCCCCTTGTTGCTCGTGGGGAAAACAGATCCGTTTCTTCTCGCCGGCTCGTTGGAATCCTATTTTTTAATTTACTTTTTTATTTATTTATATTTTTTTTTATCATTTTCTGAATCTGTTTCCTTAGACAAGTTGTGGCCTTTTAGAGAAGGGATGAGGATTATTGTGATAGGATAAATCAAATTTTTCGATTAGGTTTTTTAGTTCTATGGATTACTGCAAAGTTGGAACGTTGAAGCTTCAGATAGTAACAAAAGGATTATTGTTGTGCTGTTGGCTAAGTATTTTTTTTTTAAATAATGCATTGATTATTTTATACTTATTATTTATTTACAAGATTAATGGTACCTCTCTTGGTTGTATTTATAAATTTAGCTTCATTAATTTTTGCTTCTTGATATTAGCTATTATTACATTGCTACAAACAAACAAAAATTAAATGCATAAGATGTTTCACGTAGGAAAAATTTTGCATTGATAGTACTATGATCTCTAAAACCTAGCTAGTGATAGGGGTATACCTATCTACATAGATTTAATTAGCAATCAATCCTAGGCATATGACCTACTTGCATTTTCCTAGCTAGTAATGCTAGGGCTATAACCTACTTACATGCATCATGTTAGCAATGCTAGGCCTATGACCTACTTATATCATCGTTAGCAATGCTGGGCCTATGACCTACTTACATGCATCATTTTTAGCAATGCTAAGCCTTTGACCTCACACAGACTGACCACACATAGCCCCACGTGTTCATTGGCTGGCTGCATCATGAGCTATAGTACTCATGCACTAATGACCTACATTCAACGAACCAGATATATATATATATATATATATATATATATATATATATATTTATATTTATATATATATATATATATATATATATATATATATATATATATATATATATATATATATATATATATGAATAATAATAATATACATTTACTTATTTATGTATAAATACCGTTTTATGTATTATACGTATTTATAAATAACTGTATATATATATATATATATACATATATATATATATACATATATATATATATATATATATATATATATATATATATATATATATATATATATATATATATATATATATATATATATATATATATATATATATATATATATATATATATATATATATATATATATATATATATATATATATATATATATATATATATATATATGTATATATATATATATGTATATATATATATGTATATATATATATATATATATATATATATATATATATATATATATATATATATATATATATATATATATATATATAACGGCAGAAATATATAATCAGAGCTTAAAATAAAGCCGATCGAATTTGCACCAGTTATTTCGCAATGATTGTGTCACTGGTCTACAGGGAATATTTTCATCGCTGTACGCTGTTGGGTTCAGCCAACTTGTTCCCTCTCTCTCATTCCCTCCCTCCCACCCTCCCTACTCTCGTTCGCTCCGTTGTTGTAAGCTCCGGCTAAACCTGGCGACTTGTAGGTCGTGTGGGTGGGGAGGAGGGGGGGGGGGGGGTTGGAGGTGACAGAATGACATGGTTTGAACACATCTATTAGCGTGTGAGTGATATGCTGTCATTTAGTGCAGTGGGGGCGGGGGGGGGGGGGTTTCACTGTATTTAAATATAGACAACCAGGTTCTTTTCGGCGAGTGGGGAAGATATACGATTTTTGATTGGGGGGGGGGTTGACAATTATAAGGGTCAATTTTTTTTTTTTTATCGAACAGTGTGGTCGGTTGGTACAGTGCATGTCTGCTAATCCGAAAGTCGCTTGTTTTGAATAAGGCTTCACGACCGTAGTACATCTTTGAGTGCACCCAGCTTAGTGGAGAAAGTAAGGTCGGCTGGGCATGGTGCCGACCACAGTATCCTCTGTGTAATTGAAATCATAATTTATTCCTAAATTCTAAAACTGGAATTTAGAATTATTTATTTTTGGTAAATTCCATTTTTTTTTTAAATTTACTGGCACAGTTGCAATGGGTGGAGAAGGGAGTTTGGGGTGGAACGTAATGTTGGACTGTGACCAGATTGGTTAAGATTCAACTCGAGGTAAATCCTCGAACAGTGCGCACACGAAATGACTTGACCTAACTTTGACTTAGTCCTCTTTGCAATTTATGGAACATAGTGCCTCCACCGTTTCCTTCCATTTCTTCCGATCCCCGGCTATTTTGCCATCTCCCAAGACATCCCTGTTGGCTTCAGTTCTTCAAGAAGACTCCGCCTCCAGGTCTGACTTGGGCGCCCTCTCTTCCGTTTTCCCTGGGGGTTCCACTCAAGTGCTTGGGGTGTAACATTTGGGTGAGCCTTTGGCAGTGGCACACAAAATGGATTTTTTTTAAACCAACAGAAGGAATGTTCTTGCTGGTTTCGAACCCTCATGGTTAGTACCAAAGGTATTAAAGTTTCGAGTTTCACACTGAAGTTTTGTAGCTGTGCTCTGCGGATAGCGTTGTGCGGGAGCGAACATTTTATTTTCTAGTATAAATGATGTATACGTTTGTTCTTAGAAAGTCGTATTAATAAGAATAAAATTGGGAAGGAGTTGGGGGGGGGAGTTGCATTTCTCCATAAAAAATGAACTTAAAAGCATGGAGGTATAATGTAGTGTTGAAAAACGCGAAGAAGACTGGCACTACCTGTTTTTTTTTTTTTTATTAATGATCTTTCTATAAACTTCACTGCCGATACAATTTTTATTTATTTATTCACTAAATTTCAGCTGTACAGTTACATTTGTGTGCTATAACGGAACGGAAGTTCATCGAAGTAAGCGGGAAATAAATCACGTAAACCACAATGGCACCCATAATGTGACAAAATGGCTTCCGTTTCCCTAAGTCATTAAGTGTTGGGTTGATTGAATCTTTGATACTCACCGTTTCATTTCTAGTGCATTAGCCCGCGATTCACAACTAAACGGATACCGGAAAGACGAAAATAAATCCTCTGCTATTCTCACCTCGCGCTGACGTCATGACCTTGACCGCGGAGGAAACGCCCACGAGAAAACATCCATCCGAACGTATCTGATATATTCAAGTTTCATTTTACATTTTCTTTTTTAAAAATAAAATAAAACGTAGGATTTTTTTTTAAATACCGGATTAATTCCCCTTAAAAAAATCGAGTTATCGCTCTAATAACAAAATGGTTTGCACCGGACATCCGGTTAATGCCTGCTAATGCGCTTGACCTCACTGCTGGTGTTAAGATTTCTATGGTGTCCAAAAAAAAACGGCATAATGCACGACAACTAAAGGTGTTCCTTTAATTTGTCCTGACCAATTAAGCATTAAGTAGAAACCGCATTAAAATGTTACGAAATTGCTAAAATATTTCTTTACCAACGGAATTATGTTTTTATTTTTAACAAATGAAAAAAAAAAAAAAAAAAAAAAAAATGTGTTCGAATCAACGGAGGTTACAGCCTGCAAAGGATAAAAAGATTACCCTGCCCCCCTGTTATTGCGCTGTACTACTAATGGGGGATGCAGACAAAAGGCCGACAAGGACAAAAGGCCTTTTGGGTGTCTGCCTTTTGACTGTCGGCCTTAAAGTCTGTCGGCATTATGTACAGTCTGCCTTTTTTATGTCGGCCTTTTGTCCATGTCGACCTTTTGTCAATGTCAGCCTTTTAGATGCCGGCCTTTTATTCTACACCCTGCTAGTAGTAGTAGTATAAATCCTTTATCGAACCTGACTGTCCTTGGGCCAAGTGAGGTAGAGTTCACTTATTTTTGTGACCTCGGCATTAGGGGATAGTATGGTCAGCACTATGCCCAGCCGCCTTTACTTTCCCTTACGTGAGTTAGGTACCCATTAGAGACGGATGGACTGACGGATGCTCTGCTGAATTGAACCCGGGATTCAAACCCGAGACTTTTCTGGTTAGACAAACGAGTCAGTCAGCATCGCAGTAAAGGACACACGAACATCTGACACAAAACACAAACACAAAATACACCCACGGGCACAATCCAAAGACACACAGACACCCTTGTCAAAGACACAACCAGGATCCCACTCAAAGGCACGCGAATACTTAGCAAAAAGACACAACGACTAGCTACACACACACAGACACAACCCAAAGACACACAGACACACGAGTTAAAGACACAACATGGATCCTACGCGAACACTTAGCCAAAAGACACATTGACTAGTTACACACACCGACACAACTCAAAAGACACAACGACACACCTTGTAAAAGATAGACATTCGCATCACCAAAAGACAGACAACACACCGTCCATCATGCGTATGGAATCAGGTCTTCGCCCACCTTGAGCGCGGGTAAATCAATGAAGGTTTTTATTCCTCCGTCACCGGCGAGAAACTAGCTTCGATAGGACGATGTTATTGTGTTAATTATGTTCCGGCACTATAGTCTGACGGCTGGGTGCTGTAGTGTGGTGACTGGACGATGATGATGTGGGCGAAAGGGAGGGGTGCTATTTATTAATTTAGTTAAAGAGTATGTATGTTGTTGCTTTTATTCCCCTTCCACTTTAAGAATATTTTTAACATATGCCTACTGTGTATTCTAGCCATATTTGTTTGGGATTTTTTACTTTAACTGATCTGCCTTGCTTATTTATTTATTTATTTTTATTGCTGATTTTAATCCCAGTAGGCTATGGGTTCTGCTTTTTTTTTTTTAAATTTTCTCTGCTTTGAATACCTAAATAGATCGTAGTATTTGGAGCACCCCCCTCCCTCCCCCCGAAGAAAGTCTAGCCCCCCCCCCCCCCCCCCCCGAACAAAATTGAATTTATATTTATATAAAAAGATATACTTTTACCAGTGTCAGTCCGCCCCCCCCCCCCCCCCCCCCGCCCCGGTGAAAAAAGTCTGGAAGCAACAAAGGTTAGAAAATATAATTAGTGCTATGTTAGTAAAGACTTATGTCCTTCAGGAATGTTCTTTGTATAGCCAGGCGCGAGTCAGACACTGGCCCCTGCTCACCCCACTCAGGCAAAAATTATATGGGGCACCTGCCAATCTGGAGACCACAGTCCGGTTCGTTCACGAAGTTGGACTTGTTGTCTAAATCCTCCACCATATTCTCAATTAAGAACGAAGAAGAAGAAGTAAAGACTTGAGTTAAGGTTAAAGTTAGGGGTAAGGTTAGCGCGTTGACATTATATTATACGAGCCGACCCGCGGCGTATCATACGCCGCTATTTAGTTGTTTTATTATCTACTTTTCAGTA